GCGGGGCCCGGCGCTCGGGCCGCGCGGAGCCGCGGGGCCGACCGCCAGAACAGCCTCCGCCGCGCCGCCAGCGGCCTCTACCAGGGCGTCAGCGGCCTCTTCGGCGAGGACAACGTGCGGGCCCTGCAGAAGGTGAGGTGCTGCTCGCCGCCCCCTTCCTCTCCCCTCCGTCTCCTTCGCTTCTTCTCCCCCCGCCTCGCCGCTCCGGGCGGCTCTGGGGCCGCAGCCCCGCGGCGCCACCGCCCGGCTCGGTGCTGGCCCGGCCGTGGCCTCGTCCCGGTGTGAGGCGGCGGAACGGCCGGAGCGCTGCCGTGGGGAGAAGAACGGGAGGCCAGGCTTGCAGCAAACTGGGGGGAAATAGCAGCTGGATGGTTAAATGAAGGTGTGAGGTGGGGGAGACGGCCGGGCTGAGGAGCCCTCGGCTGCAATCCGGTCGGCAGCAGAGCATCCTGTGCTGGCAGGGCAGGCGTGCGTTCCTCCCTGCCTGCTTTCCTCCGGCTGTAATAAATTCTGCCGGGTTGACCTCTGAGTACACCCGAGACATTTGCGTGTGGTGCTGGGGACATCTCTCAGTTGCTTTGGTTTGCCTTGCCAGTTGTTGGTAAATCTCTCTAATCTTCGAAGCGATAGTAAAGCCAATAAAATGCGTTTTTAAAGCCTGCCAGCGTATACATTTACATGCCAAAATACCTACAATAACGATAATTGCAACGCATAAATTCGTGATTCACAGTTTTAAAAAAAATAATTCAGATTTACAGTTTTTCCCATGGGGACTATGAAGTAATCTGCAATTGTTGCTTAATGAATTGTAATTCTACTCATGACAGATAAGTCTCAAAGTGTTACTTTAGGAATTTTTACTTTAGGAATTGAGGATTTTTTTTTAATTTTCAATTTTATTTCTCAGTTTTTCTCAAGGTTGACAGAGAGGTTTGTGAATGGGGTGGATGTATTAATGGACACATTCTGGAGAATATGGACTGATTTGTTAGATGTTCTTGGAATTGATGGTAAGTGTGATGCCTGCTCCCCCTTGAACTGTCTCAGCCTGTGTTGGTGTTTCAAGCAAATGGGAAAACAGTTACGTTTTATCATGCTGCTTAAACATCCATCAGTGGTGTGTCCCTCTGCTTCACATGGCTTTGATTTTCCTATTAGTGTCTTCAGACAAGACTGAACCCCACCATTCCATTTCTGTGTGTGGATCCACAGGATGTGTATAGAATGAATTACCATGCACAGTTGGTTCCTTGGTGTCATCATTAAATGGATTCACACAGCCAGGAGCAGTGCAGGGAAATCAATGAGGGCCAGAGACAGGAAAGATGAGGTTGAGAGCCTTTAGAATGTAGCTGTTACAAAGCACGATCTGTAGCCCCAGTATGAGTTTTGACCTCAGGCTGTACAGTGGTTTGTCTTTAAAGAGCCTTTAGCACCTTTCCTGGAATGAATTCAGTTGGAGCTGAGCCAGTGATTTGAAGAAAGTTCATCCAGAAATAGGTGAACCAGTTTTACCCTTTAGAAAACACAGCCATGACGTGACCCCACTGCTCTGGGGGTTTGACCCTTGGAGCTGTGCTCATTGGAGCTGTGGTCGTTTTTTGCCCCACTGCTGTGGGGGTTTGACTCTTGGAGCTGTGCTCGATTTTTGCCCCGCTGCTGTGGGGGTTTGACTCTTGGAGCTGTGCTCGATTTTTGCCCCGCTGCTGTGGGGGTTTGACTCTTGGAGCTGTGCTCGATTTTTGCCCCGCTGCTGTGGGGGTTTGACTCTTGGAGCTGTGCTCGATTTTTGCCCCGCTGCTGTGGGGGTTTGACTCTTGGAGCTGTGCTCGATTTTTGCCCCGCTGCTGTGGGGGTTTGACTCTTGGAGCTGTGCTCGATTTTTGCCCCGCTGCTGTGGGGGTTTGACTCTTGGAGCTGTGCTCGATTTTTGCCCCGCTGCTGTGGGGGTTTGACTCTTGGAGCTGTGCTCGATTTTTGCCCCGCTGCTGTGGGGGTTTGACCCTTGGAGCGGTGCTGGTGCTTTTCCCCACTGCTGTGGGGATTTGACCCCTTGGAGCTGTGCTGGTGTTTTTGCCCCAGTGCTGTGGGTGTTTGACCCTTTGGAACTCTGCTCATTTTTTGCCCCACTGCTCTGGGTGTTTGACCCTTGGAGCTGTGCTCATTTTTTGCCCCACTGCTGTGGGGGTTTGACCCTTGGAGCTGTGCTCGTTTTTTGCCCCACTGCTGTGGGGGTTTGACCCTTGGAGCTGTGCCACCTTCAGCCCACGCTCACTAACATCCTGTACATTTCCCTTTGTTTTTCAGCCTCCAACCTGACTCATTATTTCAGCCCGGCAGCGATTGCCAACAACCCGACCCGCGCCCTCCTGCTGATCGGTGCCATTTTACTGGCCTACTGGTTTTTGTCTCTCTTCCTTGGATTCTTCTTCTATCTCCTGCACATGCTGTTTGGCCGCTTCTTCTGGATCGCCAGGGTGGCCCTGTTCACCCTGTCCTGCGTGTACATCCTGCAGAAGTACGAGGGTGACCCCGAGCACGCCGTGCTGCCCCTCTGCTTCGTCGTGGCCGTCTACTTCATGACGGGGCCCGTTGGGTTTTACTGGAGGAGGAACAGCAACAGCAGCCTGGAGGAGAAGATGGACCACCTGGATAGTCAGATCAGGCTGCTGAACATCCGCCTTTCCAGGGTGATTGAGAACCTGGACAGGGGCGCTGAGCAATGAGCCCGCCCCTGCTGACCACTGTACACCAGCTCTGGAAAAATCCTAAGCACTGTCTCATCCCAAGTGAAGAAGCAACAAAACATCACATGGTAAAAAGTGTGCAAGGTTATAACTTTTCATCGTGTCTAAGACTAATTTATCTAGGTTAAACACTCAGCCGTTAGACTTCTAGGAGAAAGAAAAAACATTTACAAAATTCAGCTGTATATTCAGAGTTTTATCCAGTACTAGAATTTTCTCAGTAGATAAACGCTTACTTTTACAAGCATTTAAAAACATCTTTTGTAAAGTTTTTATAAGAGCAAATTGAGTAGTCTTTCAGATATTGAAATTGAGTTAAACATATGCAAATTTGACACTTTAACAGTTAAAAAGAAAAAAAAAAAAATCTCAAGCTACCAAGCACTTCCATTGAGAAGTAACTGCTGTGGGTCCATATTTTTTCTTCAGAGTTGTGAATGTTTTTGTGTTTTTGTTGGCTTATTTCGTTGCCTTGAAGTTGCCTTTCATAGAGTATCAGATGAGGAATTTTCTGGTATCCAGGCCAAAAAATTCACACCATAGCTTTTAACAGGAGGTGGGGAATGAGGGAGAAGGAAGATCTGAAGTCCTTAAATGCCAGTCCAATGTGAGGAAGCACACGTGTGGCATTTTATCATTGCATTTCATCCCGAGAACTTTAATTCGTTAGCGTCTGGAAGGAAATCTGCTTTAATAAATTGGCACAGAAGGAAGATGCAGCGTGACAAATTGTAATTCATATTTGATCTGCACAGTGAAGCATTTTCCAAGCTTAAAGTGCATAGAGTTTTTAATCTCAGGACCCACGTACCTTCTCAGAAAAGGCAGCAGTTAAAACACGTGCAAATCTATTGTTGCTTAAAGCTTTCTCAGGACCAATCAGCGGCAATAAATTACCTTCAGGAAGATCTGGATTTTTTTCTAAAATTACAATAGTTTTATAGGAGCTTTTTGCTTGAAGTCTATGTCCTCTTTAGGTTTCGGGGAAAAGCGAGTCACCTTTAAGAGGAGGGTGTAGGAAACGGTTCTCTTTCAAAGCAGTGGAGCTTTGGAGCAATTTTATTTCGCAGGATTTCTGTGTTTCTTACAACTAACGAGCTTGGTAGGCATCACTGGCTGTGCTGGTTTACTGAAGCAAAGGGAACCTCAGGGAAGGGAGCCTGGAATGTGGTTTCACCTGGAAACAGCAGCATCCAAGGACGCAGATGTGAGGAGGGAGGGGAAGCACCTGCCCCTAGTGATGAGCACAGTTCTGATACCACCAGGGGTAGGATGGAGCACAGCTGGAGCATTCCATATCCCATAGGGTCCAAAAGAACAACTGCATCAAAAAGCGCAACAAAAATTGGTCTGGGGTGGGGTCTGGCTGCAAAGCAAGGGAACCAGGAGGAGGAGGAGGAAGAGGAGGAGGAGGAGGTTCCCCAGGTGTGCCTGCCAGTGCCAGCTCCAGTGGGCTGAGCACAGCTTGTTCTTCCACTGAGCAAAGCTTCTGGCTGTGATGCTGAACTGAATGTAACCCTGGGGCGAATTTCTTTTTCTCTTTCTGCTGAAGTTTAGTGTTCTTCTTGAAACGTGTGTGTTACTTGCCTGACCTCTTTGGGTCTGTGTGTGGCATTTCCACGGGGGTTATTTTTAAATCCATGTCAATGGCCTTTACTCCTGGTGATCACTTTGGTTCAACAAGGTTGAAGTTCATATGCACTTGGCACGGTTGGAATGCATTTTAATTTTTTGTGTCACCTGTAAATCCCCCTGCACCCCATTTATTAACAAGTACATGGTTTAGAGTTGTTAAAGAACTGGTTATCACAACTTAGAATCTTTCCTGTGATCAGATAGGGACTATGGCAACAAATAGTCCATTTTGTCAAGCTGAAAATGTGAATTGCAGTAAATACCTTTTTTCAGTTAATTTTCCATAGCATTACAGAGTCTTCCCTGTAGACTCAGTTCTCACTACTCTTGTGCACAGAGGACTGGGCTAAAACACCAACCTGGAAATTAGGAATTGACTAGTAAAGCTTGTCAGGTCTTGATGTGTTTTGCCAAATTTGAGACCCGAGGACCAAAGTTTGCAAACCTCGTGTCAGTGGCTCCATGGCCTTCTTAGGACAATGTGCATGGGTCAGTTTGCATAGATTGTATTTTGTGTAATCCATATTTAACTTTAAAGTCAAAAATACTGAACATTTATATATTAAGAGTTGTCTATGATAAAGATTTCTTTGAAAGTATTACATAAAAGTTAATTTGGATTATAGTTTCTCCCTGTCTCACTCTAATAATTTATGTTACTTTTGTAAAATCAGCCCTCCTGTATTAATACTCTTTATTTCAATCACCCTGCTGCTTGAAAAATGGTATTTTTATATTTACTTGCATCCCATGTATAGCAAAATATTATGTGAAAAGCAGTATATATAAAATTGGGTATTTTTAATCAGTATTTTTCCCAGCACTCAGTTTTCACGTTAGTCAAATTCAGAAGTAATGATTTTTTTAAAGCACAATCTAATCTTCAATATATATATATAAATATATATATATAAATATATACTTTAAAAATGCTCTGTATTTTTAAACATGCACTGTAGTGAAAGCGCTTTTGGGGACATGAATGTGGTATTGTATTTAATCTCTTTCAACTTTTGTAAATACCTTTTACAAGTGTTTTCCATACTGGGCCATCTAGTTTATCCATGGAGGTTTTTGCTGTTTTTTAGAAACCCGTGCCAGTGGCTGCACTGCTTTTGTGTCCCACAGAGCATCTCAGACAGGCAGGGCTCTGTGTCACCTGTGAGCCTGGCAGGTGACACCTGCAGGGGTGGCAGTGTGACAAACCTCAGCAGTGACACCTGCAGGAATGGCACTGTGGGAATCCTCAGCAGTGACACCTGCAGGGGTGGCAGTGTGACACCTGCAGGGGTGGCACTGTGGGAATCCTCAGCAGTGACACCTGCAGGGGTGGCACTGTGGGAATCCTCAGCAGTGACACCTGCAGGGGTGGCACTGGGACAGCCCTCAGCCCAGGGCAGGGATGGCACGGGACTATCCTGGTAGCTTTGGCTTTTTGCCGTGACTTCATGGAGCTGTGCCACAGCCACACCTGCTGGGAGCCGCTGCAGGGGCACAGGTGACACAGGGACAGCCCCAGCTGGCTGCTCCTGCAGGACAGATCCTGCTCCTGGGCCTTGCTGCTGGAGATCCCATCCCTGTGTGGGCAGCTGGCACAGGCGCCGAGGATGGCTCTGCCTCACCGGCCTTCCCCTGCCTGCTCTGGGACCAGCTTTGCAATCCTGCAGGGTTCTTCCTGCTCTTGAGGCTTTTACCTGCCTGCTCTGGGGCCCAGCCTTTGAATCCTGCAGTGTTTTTCCCATTCTTGAATGTTTTCACCTGCCTGCTCTGGGACCCAGCCTCTGGAACCCTGCAGGGTCTTGAAGGTTTTCCCCTGCTTGCTATAGGACTCAGTCTTTGCAATCCTGCAGTGTTTTTCCCATTTCTGAATGTTTTCACCTGCCTGCTGTGGCACCCAGCCTTTGAATCCTGCAGTGTTTTTCCCAATTTTGAATGTTTTCAGCTGCCTGCTCTGGGACCCAGCCTTTGAATCCTGCAGTGTTTTCCCCATTTTTGGATGTTTTCAGCTGCCTGCTCTGGGACCCAGCCTTTGAATCCTGCAGTGTTTTCCCCATTTTTGGATGTTTTCAGCTGCCTGCTCTGGGACCCAGCCTTTGAATCCTGCAGTGTTTTCCCCATTTTTGGATGTTTTCAGCTGCCTGCTCTGGGACCCAGCCTTTGAATCCTGCAGTGTTTTCCCCATTTTTGGATGTTTTCAGCTGCCTGCTCTGGGACCCAGCCTTTGAATCCTGCAGTGTTTTCCCCATTTTTGGATGTTTTCAGCTGCCTGCTCTGGGACCCAGCCTTTGAATCCTGCAGTGTTTTCCCCATTTTTGGATGTTTTCAGCTGCCTGCTCTGGGACCCAGCCTTTGAATCCTGCAGTGTTTTCCCCATTTTTGGATGTTTTCAGCTGCCTGCTCTGGGACCCAGCCTTTGAATCCTGCAGTGTTTTCCCCATTTTTGGATGTTTTCAGCTGCCTGCTCTGGGACCCAGCCTTTGAATCCTGCAGTGTTTTCCCCATTTTTGGATGTTTTCAGCTGCCTGCTCTGGGACCCAGCCTTTGAATCCTGCAGTGTTTTCCCCATTTTTGGATGTTTTCAGCTGCCTGCTCTGGGACCCAGCCTTTGAATCCTGCAGTGTTTTCCCCATTTTTGGATGTTTTCAGCTGCCTGCTCTGGGACCCAGCCTTTGAATCCTGCAGTGTTTTTCCCATTTTTGAGGGTTTTCACCTGCCTGCTCTGGGACCCAGCCTCTGGAACCCTGCAGGGTCTTGAAGGTTTTCCCCTGCCTGCTTTAGGACTCAGTCTTTGCAATCCTGCAGTGTTTTTCCCATTTTGGATGTTTTCAGCTGCCTGCTGTGGCACCCAGCCGCTGGGACCCCGCGGTGCTGTCCCCGCTGGGGCAGGGGGCTCCTCTGGACGCACACAGCTGCGGGTGCCCGCCGTGTCCTGTGGGATGTGCCTCTTTCCCAGCGGTTTGGGGTGTCGGGGTGCAGTGCCCAAACCTGCTGTGGCTCCGTGCTGTGCTTCTGGCGCGTCCTTCACTCCGTGCTTTGCTTCTCCAGACTCGTTGCGTCGTCGGTGTGGAAAATAGACCAGTGTCGACCTTAGCTCTTCGGTGGTGTGGAAGTGTTTGAGTGTGGTTTGCCTCACCTACTGATCTGTATTTGGCAGCTAATGGCGTTCAGTGACCACGAGTTCTCTTTGTCTGGGTTGGAAAATAAAAGGTTTTATTGTATCCGCATGTATTTTAAACTTTTTTGGGTAATTCCGTCGACCTGTGATGACAGCACATGTAAAAACCGATCTTTTCCTTTTATTCAGAAGTTCTATTTGCTGTGGTAGCACTTGTTGTTGGCACTGATGGTGGTGATTTCACATCCTGTTTTGTACATCGGGTTTCATGATTACAGTGTTTAGGTTTGTACAATTGTTTGTGTAAAAATGATTTGGTCTGAAGAGATGCTGTGAGTTCACTTCTGATCCTAGACACGTACGAGATCCTACTGGTAATACTGTTTAGTAGTTACAACTGTACCAGACTTATTTTTTACAGAGCTTCACATGCCTTTATTTATTCCTTTATCGGACCATCCAAACCATGTACTCCGTAGCTCAGTATTTGTAGACCAGTTTCACAAATCAACCTGAGGTATTGTGGCAAAGCTTCGAATAAATGTTTACTGAGACTTTGCACTGAGCTGCGAGTGCCTGCTGAGGCAGTGGGGTGGGGTGGGGTGGGAGGGAATGGGAGGGAAGGGGGCCGAGCCGAGCTGAGCTCTGTGGGGTCGTGCCGTGTCCCCGTCGCCGTCCCCGCCGCCGCCATGGGCCGAGCGCGCCGCCGGCACAACTGGAAGGCGCGGCAGGCGCAGGGCCCCGCGCCGCCGGCCGCCGCAGAGCCGCTGGAGCTGCCGCTGGAGCTGGGAGGTGCGGCCGGAGCGCGGAGCTCCCCGTGAGGGCTCGGCTGAGACCGGCGCTGCTGCCCTGCTCTGCCGGGTTTTTATCGCGTGTTTATCGGAAGCAGTGTTGTTTTTAACCCCCCGGGGGAGGCGTTTTGGGTTCTCCGTCCCTGCGTGCGGCTCTCGGTGCCCTGGCCGCGTTGGGTTCCAGGCCGGGCTCGGTGATCTCGGGGGTCTTTTCCAGCCGAACTCATCCCCTCGTTCTCGCTGGCTTTGCATTAACAGCTCTGTTTCAGCAGCGAGAGCCTCCAGGGAGCTCAGGAGCTGTCCTTGGGTCCCAGTCACGACACTCCATTATTTATTAAAGCAGCTTTATTAAACATATTGAACGTGCTTCTTATTTTTAATATTCGCTTTCTCAAACTTTAAAAAAAAAAAAAAGGCGTTATTTAATATTCGCTTTCTCAAATTTAAAAAAAAAAAGGCGTTGCTTTAAAAAAATACATTTGTTATTCTATTTTTATTATTCAGAATCTAGTAATGTAGGTTTTTTATTATTTTTATTTATATATTTTTATATATTTTAAATATATTATTAAAATCCACTGGTGCCCGGGTGAAGCAGGACGCTGGGGAGTCACCCCAGGGCACGCTGTGTCCTGACCCTGGGGGATTGAGTAAAAAGGCAAAAATTGCATAATACTGTTAAATAAATCTTGGAGAATCGCCCTCAGGGCTATAGAAAGCTCAGGGTTGTTGAAAGCCCAGTTTCGAGGTCTTTTGCCCTTGCTGATGTTGCAGGATTTTTTTTTGGCTGGGCACGAGGGTTGTGTTTGTTTGAAGCAGCTAAAAGTGGCCTGGTGCTTGATAAGCCTGCTGGGCAGTGTGCTGAAAATAATCCACCTGGCACGGGAGAATAATCCAAACCTTCCTTCAGATGCAGCAACGCTGAAGGGGATTGATGAAAGTAATGCCCTGGTCCTGCCAGCAAAAAAAGCCAAGAAGAAAAAAGTCACCTGTGTTGTGCAACAGCAGAAGAAACCCCTGAGCAAGAAACAGAAGAAAAACCTGCAGAAGGTTTTGGAGCAGAAGGAAAAGAAAAAACAGGTGTGTTGCTGTTTCTGGCAACAGCAGCTTCTTAAATCTTAAATTCTTAAATCTTAATTTTAGGAGAGCTGAGGGTTTGGTGTTGGTGTGCGGGGAGGGGGGGTGATGATGAGGATGGTGAGGGGTGTGAGCTGTCAGGGGGTGTCTGAGATGTGAACTCTCAGGGGTGTGCAGCTGCTGAGGGCGATGCTACAACAGCACCAGCCCCCACTTTGCTGGGAATTCAGGCAAAGATGCCCAAAATTTTGCTGGGTATTTCCCAAAGATGCCCCCAGGGGCTGCTGAGGGCAGCTCCAGGGGGGGAAGGCACTGCAGGAACACATGGTTTGTGGGCCCAGGTCCTGCTCTGCCCAGGTGTGCAGGTGTTGTGGCTCCATCAGTGGCAGGCTGTGGGAATCCATAGGATTAGAGGATTTTAGGAGAGCTGGGCAGTGATGGTTTTGCATTTTAAAAGCTCCCTGTGGAGCAGGTGCTGTGAGCAAACCTCCCTGCAGCCCAACGCTGGCCTGTCAGTGCTTCTGAAATGTTTGTTGTGTACTTTCAGGGTGGAAATGAGAGCTTTGCTGTCTTTGTAAAAGCTTTCCAGGCAAAAATCCTGGTCCTGTTAGTGTCTGAGCAATGGCTTTGACGGAGGAGCTCTGGTTTTGGAGGCAGTTTCAAGCTGTGGCTGCCTGGCCTCCTGCCATGCCGTGTCCCACAGGAGGCTCCCGTTGCTCCAGGCCTCATTCCAGTGGTTCAGTTCCAATCTGTTTTCCTTGCTGCTGTTTCTAGGGTGCAGCTGAGCTGCTCACTGCTGTGGTGGCAAGTCCTCATTTCTGTTTTTGCTGTGGTACAGAGCTGAGATCTTCACCAGGGAGGACTGACCCTGGAGCAGCAGGAAGGTTTTACAGCTGCACAGCAGGATTTCCCAGAGCACACCTTGGAATGCTCAAGTGCTGACCTTTAAATAAAATTATTCCCTGGTCAAAGCAAGCACTGATTCTGGCTGTTTTCCCCAAACAGAGAGCTGAGCTGCTGAGCAAGCTGAACGAGGTCCAGGCTTCTGAGGCAGAAATGAAACTCCTGTACACTACTTCCAAGCTGGGCACTGGGGAGCGCATGTATCAGGCTAAAAGGTGAAGGGCTTTTTGGGTGGAACCCTTGCAACTGATCACTGTGTTTGAACAGCAACATCCTGAGCTTTCCCTTGATTTTTTTTTTTCTTCTTTTTGGTGCAAACAGGTTCTTTGGAATGGATGGAGTTAAATAATTTGTTATTTTTATCTGATGATGGGATAGTTATTTTCTTGGTCTTTCCTATGGATGAGGATGAGGAGGGTGACACAATCTGCAGGCTTTTAGCAATTGTGCTAAATGACAAAATTGGTGGATAAACATTTTACTTATTTTCTTGTGCTGGAAGACATCTACTGATGTTGACCATAGCTGCTAGATTTACCAAGAGATGGATTTATCAAGAGCTGCATTTGTAGATTAAACTACAAAGATGCCTTCAGAAGAAATGGATAAACCCCAGGACAGGAAATGCTTAGATACAAATCCATCCATCAAAGCCAAGGCTTTGCCTGGCAGAGCTGTGAAAACCTCCAGAAGTGGAGATCTGGTTTTTGGGGAAGTCATGTCTGCTTTGAGGTGCCAGAACACAGTTCACAGGTGGATGTTTTGTTCCCAGGGTGACACAGGAGCCGAGGACTGATGTCCCCGAAAGGATCAGGAGCATCAGCGGTGCCAACAAGAGAAGGCACAGCTCAGGGTCAGAATCAGAGCCTGAGGAGGAGCCCAGCAGCTCTGAGGAGGAGGAGGAAGAGCAGAAAGAAGACACTGAGAAGCCCTCAGCCAGTGCTGTGAATGCTGCTGGAGAGGCAGAAGGAGGAGTGGGGAAGGCAGGGGCTGAGCAGCCCCCAGCTGCTCCCAGAGCCCAGGTTCCCCAGGCAGCCCCCAGCAAGGCTCCCTGCAAACCTGCAGTGTTCATCCCCGTGGACAGGAGTCCTGAGATTCAGGTGAGGCTCTGTGAACAGCACAGTGCTTGTCAGAGGGGCTGGGGAGGAGGGTGTGTTCCAGCAGCTGGGTGCACTCAGCTCTGCTCCAGCAGCAGGAAAACTCGCCTTGTTTCAGGGTATTAGCATTTATCTTTAGCTCCACATACAGAATCTATTAACAGTCTTTATTGTCCTTTGCTGGAAAGTCTTCTGAAGTCCCTTTCAGTTCTCTGTTGTTTTGTACCTTATGCTGGATGGTTTTGTCCCATTTGGTGTGGGCAGGGCATTGTGCAGAAACAGGAAAAGCTCTGCACGAGCCTCAGCAGATGAGGCAGTTGTGAAATGAGTTTTCCCTTGAAAAGAAAGGGATTATTAAGAAACTCAAGGGACTCTGAAGTTTCACAAATTCAAGTGCAGGGCTTGCCCTCTGCTTGCTGGGAAGCTGCTCTGATGACTCTGGTTCTCAGCCATGCTCGTGTGGTGCGAGCTGGTTTAGAGATTTCTGAGTCACAGGCTTGCAGGATTCCTTTTGTGGGTTTTATGGTCTGAGGAAGGTAACAGGTTTCGATCCTGAGGAAAACAAAAAAGGATGGAGAAACAACACAACTAAAATACTGTGTTTTGCACTGTTTAGGAGGCAAGACTGAAGCTTCCCATCCTTGCTGAAGAGCAAGTGGTCATGGAAGCCATTAATGACAATCCCATTGTGATCATATGTGGAGAGACAGGAAGTGGCAAAACCACCCAAGTGCCTCAGTTCCTCTACGAAGCTGGATATGCCAGGTAGGGTTTGGATTTTATATGCAGCAAATGGAATTGCAGAGACAGCATTTTGGGAAAAATTTGGCTGTAATCCACGCATCTTCAGATCTGTACAGGTGTAACAGAAGGGAATCCCAAAGCTTCCTGTCTTTTATTCCAACTACAGCTAAGACTGAGGCTGTGTGCCTGATGCCATTAATCTAGAGCCATCAGTGAGAAGTCCTGTTGTCATTTTTGGGGGCTGCTGCTCTGTTTAATGAAAACAATTCCTCCTTTTCCTTCCCTTACCCCGTTAGTTCTGGCGGCACCATCGGGATCACGGAGCCTCGGCGCGTGGCCGCCGTGTCCATGTCCCAGAGGGTCGCCATGGAGATGAACCTGTCACACAGGTGAGCTTCAGAAAGGCTTGGGGCCTTGCTGGAAGGTGGCACTGAGGTGCTCTGTGGGTGACATGGACTCTGTGCTTTTCCCTGGGGCTGCCCTGGTGTTTCCCACAGAGTGGTTTCCTATCAAATCCGGTACGAAGGGAACGTTACGGATGAAACCCAGATCAAGTTCATGACGGATGGTGTGCTGCTCAAAGAGATTCAGAAGGTAACTTGCTGTCCTCAGTGTTACTAAAAAGGGATTTTTTTTTATATAGCTGGGCAGAGAGGTCAATGTGGACTTGTTGCCAGTCTTTCAAATCAGAATCCCTTTCAGCACCAGAGATTTATTTCATCTCTACCCTTGATATTCCTGCCCAAGTCCCTGAACATTAGATTATCTTGCTGGGGAAAATGAGAGTAAGAAGAGGCTTGGGAACCAGTCTGCTTTGTGTAGGGTGAGTGCATTAAACTGAGTGAGAAATAGAGCTGGGGATGGGGTCAGTGCTTGTGTAGCTGTGGGGTGTCCTGACTCAGATATCCCTGCTGACGTCTCCTGTGCTGAAATCCATCTCTCTCCCC